ATAATGATAATATTCATATGTGTATATATACAGGAAATAAGGCACGTTCGACGTTACATTAATTAATGGGCGAGCATGCGTTGCTCGGCTGTCCGATATTACATCTCTTATTTCGTTTACCATCCTCGATTCGTACGATATGCAACATCCTTACCAAATGTAGAAAATGTCATATAATATATATATATATATATTTATAATATACGTATCTTCTATCTGTATAAACGTTCTCGTTGAATTCCATTCGTCCGTTCATCAGCATTGTCGATCAACTTTTTTTTACATCGTCTTAAATCTATATTTATATTCATATATATATGTATACGTATTCCCTCTGATTTGCTCGATCATTGATAGGATCTGTGATTCTCGATCTCGTTCAGTAGTTCATCGAGGGGGGAACATTTGATAATCGATTCGCAAAGTGGCGCAAACATTTTCGAAATCGATCGAACGCTCGTTGCCATTCGGGTCCATCGATTATCCGTTGTTTGTTCCTTACATCCCGTCTGCGTTCGTGCTCGAACTTCGAATTATGGAATATTTAAATACGCGACACGATCGTGCCGTTGTTTGAATGGCAATCGGTCCATGATCTCGGATCGATGTACTTTCTTCGTTCTATGAGCTTTCGAAAGAGGATGGGTCCGATGATCTTTGATGGAATCGATCGCGTTTGCATCAGAATACATGTATTGTTCAATGTTCCTCGTAGTATTCTACGATTTCGTTGGCACGCATAGACACCTAGAAATTGCGCTCTTTCATGGAATCTCGATTAACCCTTCGGCGTCGCCGGTAACGTCTTTTTTATATGTCCTAAATATATAAAATAATGTATGATATGTTCGTAGGATGTTTCTATGTAAAAGAGATATGAGTTCCTTTTGGAATGAATATGTAACTTCGCTGTATGTAATAGAAGTAAATCGGAATCTTTAAGACGCCAAAGGGTTTCAGACGAATCTCAGAGAACTCACGGCACACTGATTTACTCTCGCACATGCACTCGGAAAACTTACATTAGGCGGTATCTAAACTGGCATCAAGATACTTTACACGAATGTACAAAAGTCTTTTTCCTACACCGTAATCGGAATGTGTCCACCGTACTTAGGTGTACTCGTTCGTTCCTCTTGTTTTCTCAACGCTATCTATCAGCTAAATTAATTAGAGGGAGAAGAATTTGGAACCGTTGGCTCGCGTCCAAATTGGAATGTGAGATGCTACAAGCGCCGAGGAGCGAAGGGCCATTCACGAATCGTCGATTAGTGACTTTGATTGCCTCGATACATTCGAACAATTCGTCAATTATATACAATGGGAGAATTTTTCGATCCAGGAAGAATCTTTGGAAGAAGTAAAATTTTTTCAAATATCGATTTGTAACTTGCACAAGCAGTTATACGTGATATGTTTGGTATATAAAACATTAAGACATCAGATTTAATTATAATGATCCAATTGGTTTCCCTCGAATGGACTCTTATCTATAATCAACGATTCGTTTTTGAAACTGAAGTACCACGTCTTTTCTGACTTAACTCGTTAGAATCGTTCGATTGAAATAACTCCTACACGAAAGGGACGATCAAGCCTCGCGCAGAGATCGGCGCGACGCGCTCATCCGTTCTAAATGAAATAAACGTACCAACCTCTCTTTCGAACCACGCTTTCCGCTCTCATTGACGCGGATAGACTGCAATTTTTTATACAAAATGAAACATGTCAGGAGTCATTTTAATAAAGATTCCCTTTGATCGATTAAACGTGATATGCATTTTGTCATTGATGATGATTTTAAAAATTTGCAGTCAAATCGTTACAATATAAAATCGCAGATTCACGTCTACTGACAGAGGATATTCCTAAGTACTCGGATAAAATGTATGTAAAAAACGGTGAACTACCAAATGTTAAAAATTGTGATCATAAGATGTAAAAATAGCATTACTTAAAGTTAACATTATCAGGAAGGGATGTCAATTTTTCAATGCCAGCGGAAAGCGTCCCTCGATACTAGATCGCTCTTCCCTCATTGTGCACCGGTTACAGCTTATCCAAGGAACACGATTCCTCTCTCGATCCCCTTTAAAACGTTTCTATTGCACTTCGTCCGTCTTAACAGTTAGAGATTGCAGCCGACGTTGGTACGTGTTTCTTTTCTCCGTTCTCTCCCTAACGAATTCTCCGGTCTGCGTTCCTCACGCCCAATAGATCGTCCCGAGGCGCCCTGGGCCTCAATCCACGGCGTCTATCTGCCGAAACGAGTCTTCGCGACGGAGTAACGTTGAACGGACACCCAAACCCCGGCACGGTCGAACGACCTGCCGAGGCTCTTCGACTGACGACGCGAAAAGGCGCGATATCACAGCTTCGACGGGTCGTAGTTTTCGAACGACCACCTTTGCCTCGCCGCCGTCGGGGAACACTCCTCCATCACCAAACGTTGCTTACTCTCTGTTATCGCCAGACACTTGTCGCTGCTACCGTGTCTGATCTGCTTCGTCTGGAAATAAAACCATGATTAATATTAATTTCACTAATGGAGAATGTTCGGTTCGTACAGAATCCGTTCGATAAACGTGAAAGAGCGTCTAATGGCAATTATACTGAACTCTTTATTTTAACGAAGTTAACTTCTAAATTGGCAAACATGCGCTGAAATTCGGAATTGTTTATAACGAGCGTCGTACCTGTGGATTATAAATCCATTGCTGATTCCCTTTGCTGCCGTGACAAGGATAGAGGATCACGTCGGTACCGCTGTAATCCAAGCACGACTCGTCTCGGCGGATCTCACCGGTCTTGCTCAACATCCAGTACTGTGACAAACGATCAAGATTAATGCTCGTGGATTTTGACCTACAACGTTTGCCTGTGACCGATGATTCTGACAGCCGCAGCCACGCATCCGTCGAAATCTACCGGGGACGTGCCAAACGAGCCGAATAATCGTACGAAAAATTGTCGTGGTCATAAATACACGTAGTTATTAATCTAAAGGAACTGAGTGGACTCGTTTTTGGTGACATCGGTGAAATTTTTTTGAAAATTGTCGCAAGAACAGTGATTTAGAGAATGTCTGACTTATGACTGATTTGTATCACTTGGGCTTATATTTTTACTGATTATTCGATGCGATCTCCAGATTCATGGAAAGTGGATCATTTTTTTCTTTAATTTAGGTTCATTTTAATGTCTGAAGTGCTTTTAACTGTAAAGAAAGGAGCAATGTCCGGATATCTTGTACTACTTTTTGTTTTCGATCCTTAGACGAATGAACTCAGCTTTCTTCGACAGTGTAAAAATTGTGTAACTAATTCATTTATTATGACGTCGAAATATTTATTTCTTACGAACGAATGCAACCAGTTTTAACAGACGGAGCAACTTTATAATCTGAACAGCAAAAGGATTGTTCATTGAGAAAAAGTTTCCGGGAGCGATTAAAATTTTCCAAGTTCCGCACGCACCGAGTAGCGAAACTTTTCTATGGAAATGACGAAAGACTTCGTCAAATCACTTAAACAGTTTAGCGAATTCAAATTTTCATTTGTAATAGCTAGTTAATCTTTTTATGTACCTTGGGAAGTTATTAAAATTTCATCAAACTTCATGGAATATTAATATAATCTTAAGCTGTCTTGTATAGAATTTCATTCGCCCGTGATTTTAATTAATAATAAAATAATTGCATAAGAGAGATCCTGGAATAACTAAATAAAATTGGTTCGCATATAATTATCTTCGAAATCATATTCAGAGGAAATACAGAATAATTCAACTAATATTTGTCGGTACGTGGAAGCGCTTCATTTTGACGAAGAAGCGAGTTCAGTAACGAAATTCTATCAAGATTGGATTTCTGTGATAATGAATGTCGATCATCGATAATGTGGCCCAGTGGTTTCAGAAATTGCTCCGATCTGTCTGTAGATGACAATCGAATCTGAGATTGTCTCATGAAATCGTGGCTGCTCGTTACGAGAATAAATTTTGTTAAGCCTTTATTTGTATATTTCAAAACAGTAATAAATTAGGTCTTTCGCAGAATGATAAGGTGATTGCGTGATTTGATGTTAAAGAAAAATCGATTAACGATTGTACAGTGAAATGCAATTCTAATAGGAATTCTGAAATGATTTGATACTCCGATAATTACAACGCGAGGTATTAGCTTTTTATATTTAATGGACGATATTTGATCAATTTCACAGAGTTAATAACGCAAAATTAATTGTACCGTAAAATGAATAACTTGGGAATTCAGTAAAATCTTATCAGTTTACGAGCTTTTGAATGTAACAGAGGACTCGTTAACATCGCAAAGGGTCAGGGAAAAACGTTGGCATATTCAAATCGTTACACGGTTGTAACCACGCTGTCAGAACCATCGTTGTCGAAAATTCAAAGGTTTTCATCCCCTGTCGTGCAACGATAGACTCGAGAGCGGCGGGGATTCGGGATAATGAAAAGCGAGGATTAACGCCATGCACCAGTTACCGCGTGTTAACAACCAAGCATTAGTACTATCTATATCCGTCTGAACGGAACGTGGAACGTATCAGGCCATTGTAAGCCAGCTCTAGGGACAGGTACCTGCGACGATAATTTCGGTAATTTCCCGCCCCAACGACTTCCGTTACGCAAAAATATCACCGTACCCCGAAACGATTTGCATCCTCTCTCGAATCTTGCAAATTAATAATGTCCCCTGTAATCGACGACTTCTCCCATGTTCTCGCAAAATGCAACTTTTATTTGGATACGCAAAAAATTCAATGGTCAGCTAAATACTACCTTAGTCCGCGACGCTAAATTCATAAATAAATATTAATAATTCCATCGATTATTGTACAAGTCGATAAAAATATGAAACTTGTAAAGCGACTAAATCGGGAATCGAAATTATAGCGTGATCTAAAAACGAATGAGCTGTCAACTGATTTCAGAATTAGCCACTATAAAATTATCAGAAATTGGTTGGCTTTAATCGTATTCAGTTAGTAACTTAGTTTCGCTTGATCATAATCTACTTTTCATGTGTCAATTGTACATTACGAAGTCCCTGGTAACAACTGTTTAAATTAAACAAATTTTCTGCAATTAATAATTCGATTAATTAAATCGATCATCTAATTAAAAGACCTGTACCGATTAAACTTCTACTAATTCGTATTTATATCAGTCCGATATTATATCCGAACTGCGACGTATACTCCCCGATATTGTAGCGCACATACGAAAATTTATCCGAGCAAGCATATTCGTTTAATTAATTGAAACTCCTTTCTCGGTACCCCTCATTAATAAATTTAATTCATTAGTATGCAATTTCGCGAATTCTCTATCTTGACTCCTTTGCACAATATTTCTCCGCGATCATAATTCCCTCATTTGCTATTCTCAGCCCCCTGCCAACGTTAATTCGGGATTCTACTAATTCAATCGCCCACCGTCCTCCACCCCATTTATATTTCCAATTTCGTAATAATTTTATTTCAATAAAACGAATTCATTATATTATATAAAAGTAATTCAATTAGGAGATTTAATCTCTGTTGTGTCGTCAAATTACAAAACTCATTTGATAAATATATACAGAATATTCTGTCACGTGGTACGAAGGCACGACGAATCATCAAAGTCGAAAACATCAATAAACATTGAATAGGGAAATGGGCTGCGCCGGACAAAGAGAGACAGCGAGCCCGTCTGTTGAGAACGTAATTACCATGAAACCGCGGTTTAATCGCTAGGGCAAATCGCTAAATTAAAGCGGTGCTTTATAGGAGTCAAGCGAGCGGCGACTGATTGTGTTTTTGATTGCCGCGGCTGTTAAACTAGCCCTGGGCTACGATTTAGGCACCTTTGTTACGAAACGACGTTTGGGATGTACGCGTGATTTTCGTCTATTCTGATCCGACATAGAAATCATTGTTCCTGAGTGAATCTCTGCTTCTTTAATCATTTTTCATCTATACGAGCGTGCGCAGTAAAGATAGAAATATGCTATATTATTATATTTATAGAAAAACTGAATACAAATAAGTATAGTATACGTAACAAAAATCAGTATACTTGATTAATACGTTTTAAGTAATGAACACCGAAGCGAGCGGTGTTGATGAAATCGGTGTTAAAAGACACATCATAGTCGAGTGAACTAGCTCTTATCTAACGGGCGTTACACACAGCTTGCGTATACAGTGGTTGCTGCGAAGTGGAAGATTAATTCGAGACGATGGCACGCGAAGCTAAAAATGATGACAGCAGATAGCCGAGAGAAAGTTAGTTTGGCTCCTCACTCGAGGAGAGACAGTGGTAACAGAGAGAGAGATAGAGAGAGAGAGAGAGAGAGAGAGAGAGAGAGGAAGTCGAAGATTGATGGGCAGCTGCGCCAGATTAGCGACGTTACTAATTGCAGCGAAATGGGTCGAGCTTAGCACCGAGTTAGCGTGCAAGTTAAATGGTATACGCGTTGTCGGTTAATGGTCCCTTTTTATTCCTACGCGATATACTTGTTCCGGACAGATTATCGCGGGACCATCGCTCGTTCGACTTATCCCATCAGAGAAATTCGTGAACAGTTCACACGTACTCAATGGAAACTTCGGTGATGCGCGACGATGTACAGTAAATTGGAAAACAGGCTTTAAATTTCGTTGAGGAGTTTACGTTTTGTTATATTTTTTTTACATTGAAAGGAAGGGGACAGGGAACAAAAACATGTAGAGGAAATAATTTGTAATTTCTTGTTATTATGTAATCACACAGCAGCGAATGGAAAATCAGTGATTATGTACAAGCGGGTACAATTAAATGTTGCATGACAATCCCTGTAATATTTCTTCATTATAAGTCACGGAACCGTTATCGCTCGTAATACGCGTCCAGTGCATGAACAGATTATTAAAACGCTCCCAATAAAAAAATAAAATCGGAAAACAAACTAACGTACTATAAATAATATTTACGATTACTCTGTAACAACAATATGTTCTCGCCGTAATTCATATTGAATAAAATTTTCATACATTCTGTTTAATTTGGGAGAAATAAGGAACGAAATTGTTATTTATTATTGCACTTTATTTCATTTGTTCTATCTCGTTAACGTGCTACGAGCAAGTAGATTAAATACCCCATCACCATCAAGGATCCAGCATGGGAAAATAAATTCGCCAATTTTAAACTTAGGATAAAATAACGTAACAGGCGATTAGAGTACCACGTGCCCCGCAATTATCTTAGAACTGCTATTTTCGTTCATTCCAGCGAATTTTGAATACCTGATTGCCGCCCTGGCGGTGACAGGGATATAAACCCACTGGCTGGTGCAGGTCTTCGGGTTTTCCTGGCGAGTCTATACATATGCTGCTAACGAGGTGCCTAATCTGCAGCGAGAGCAACAAATTTCCAAACGATTACCACCGATTTCTCTAACAGTTAACCGAGAGAACGAATCGTCTCGTTCATCCTATCTTACGCTTAACGTTGCACCTGTTCAGTGCTTATATCGTGACGAGATGAAAGAAGCCGCACGAATATTCACAGAAGCCTAGAAGTATGACTGACAATGAGCATGCAGGATACGGTGTTAAAGGGTTAGCGTCGTTTTTGAAACGAAAAATCGATTTTCTTTCGTGTCGATCGAATCAGAGAATTAAGAGATGACGGAAAGGTAATGGAAACATCTGTAAAAGAAGGTCGAGTTTTCGTTTCGAACAAAATGAGCACACGAGAACAAGCTGACAGCGAAATAAAGGACTGAAATAAGTCTGCCATGGATTCGGTCGTGTCTCCGTCTCTATTTGTACCTGATTTCCGCCCTGTCGATGGCAGGGGTAAAGTCCAGCTGGTTTGTGCAAGTCTGCCTTGCGTGCCGGTGAATCCAGACAGGTGTTACCGCCTTCTCCAAGATTACGAACCTGTTCATTAGTTAGCGCAATCACGTCACGCATTAGTACCGTTAGATTCGATACGTTTGTTAAATATCTCGGTTGGGCGAACAGCGAGAAAAAGTTTGTTGCACCAGGATAGGGTGCTTCTTTCTTTTTAGACAGACAGGACCGTGAATCAATTTCGAAACTGTGATAAACGTGAAAAATCGAGCGAAAATATTCTCATAAGCAAAAATATTTTTCGTTCAGGAAATGATTTCCCATCAAAAATATTTTCGCAAAACGTTATTTCTCTCCGTGTTCGCGCACCGGCAGCTAATACTTAAAGCCAGCAAGTTTTTTGCAGCACTTCCGCGGCTAGAAAAATAAAAACGCGCAAATCAGTGGAGGGCGAAGTTGTAATTGGATTAAAACGCTCGTAAAATCTTCCAATGGCCGGGAAATATTTTTTTCCTGTACAGTTGCACGTATTTTCCTCTCCTGGTGTTCCATGGGCATGGGTGCTAAATATCTTCCAATTTTATGGTGATACATTGGACGCAGCAGGGATCTCAATTACGCGGAATAGTGATTACAAAGTTACCTTGATTAAATACAAGGCGTTAAAATAATTAGATGGTACACAAGATGTAATTTTTCAAATCGTTCTTTTCCTCGTTTCAAGTCTCTTTGAGCATTCAGAAAGCTGGGAGCATTTGCTTTAACTTTAAACCGAGCCCACTGATTCCATCAATTAAGATCCCGCGAACGAAACGCGTATCAACTCGTCGCTGACTCGTCTTCAGCCCGTCGCATCGACCGCAGAACAGTTGCACAGTGCGCGAACGAAAAGAGCAGACTGGGCAACAGAGAGCGACTCTCTTCCATTTTTCAGCCAGACGGCAACAAATCGAAAATGAGCCGAGCTCCGGTTTTGTTCGCGAAAATAGACCCATCCGTGCACGTATGTCGAACACACACACATACGCCCTGATACATACGAGTACGTATACACAATACGTATGTGACGCGCATACATAATACGTCTCCATATGTATCCATAATACGCGGATGCGTGTGTATACGCGATGCAGGTACGAACACGAGGGGAGTATGTGGGACATACTCTTTGGTGTTTGCACGCGTGTGGTGGAGGAGGCTACGTGCACGGACGCGGCCCCGGGTGTGCATGTACGCGTCTTCATGCAACGGGTGCATTCAGTCACGGAGCCCGGTCAGCAGTCCTGATTTCGCTGCATGCAAGAATTCTGTGGTCGTTGCAGTTTCAACGCGAGCGAGCGAGCATCTTCATCCCCTTTCATCCTTTTCGTCGGTCGGTCGTCGTCGTCTCCGACGATGGCGGCTGGCTAGAATAAAAACTACTGATTTATTGGCGACGTTCGGCCGGCTCCGATAAAATTCCGCAACGTCCTGTCTTCCTGCTTTATCAGGGAGGAGTTCTCGGAGGCTCCTTTCTTTCACGAGTGATTTTCTTTCTGAAGGGCTCGTTTATAAACGAGAGTGCACCGAACTAAATAATTAATAGACGGATTTTTCTGACAAGTAAGACTGGCTGTCAATTTAAAAAATGAGACACGACGAGACGGTAGATCTCGTCGTTTGCGAAGTGATTATTATGCGAGTCGATCGAGTGTCGCGAAAGTTAAATCGAAATACATTTTACAGCTGCGCTCAGTTCTAATAAAATCCTGAAATCAGGTTCGTACGTCCTGTAGACTTCAGGGATATGTACAATCGAGGGCATAACTTTGAACAGAATTTTTCTGGTTGCTGTTCCACGGCACTCGTAAATTGGCCAGCACCGACATTTATCAAATTCGCGGGAGGGGGAGATTTACGCGGACTCAAAAATTCGTATGCGAAACTTAAATATGAAGCATAAATCCACGTATCTCTTTATTTTCCAGACGAGACGGCGTGATTTAACCGGACCTCGGGAAAGAAAAAACATTAAACAGAAATAAAACAAGGCCGGCTGGAAGACTGCTGGTATATTGCAAAAACGTACGTTCCACGGAGGCGGCGCGGATGAAATTGTTATTTCGCATGCAGCGCGAACTGCATTCCAAAACGCGGTCCGCGCGAAATGCTTCTTCGCGAAAATGTCCGGCAATCCTTTACGCGCTTCTCCTTTTTCCACCGCCGCCACAACCACCACCTCTTCGTTCTTCTTCCACTGTTTACCCGGCCGTAAGAATTTCTCCAACGAACGGCGTCAAGAAAAAAATATGGCAAAATGCATTCCGGCTTCGAACAGACGGTCGAAACCCAAGAAACCTATTTGTCGATCTATACGATTTCTATGATATCTCTCGATGCATAAATGTACAAAGTATGTGAAATGATATGAATAATTGATTTCTACTCGATCTTGTTGGAAGAACGTCAGAAGAAAGCCTGTTTAAATCGCAAGAGATTGAGGCATCTTTCTGGAACGTCAATCAATCACGGTTCGAAAGCATTGATCTTCTCACTATGCTGTAACAGGGTAATTGCTACGCAGATTTCACGTATCAATCATCTGAAACACCATCGATTCCGTTGCCTCATGTTTTATTCATCTCTCATTTTTGTACGTAAAAAGGAACATCGCATCTTTGTGTCTCAGATAATTATTCGATTTACGTACGTACAGAGGAGGATGATTAATCGTATAAATTCATAAAGACGAAGACGCAGAAGTTTGATATCGAGGAATAAGGCCGACCGACGAAAGTTTCCAACGAAGCCGGGGGAACTTTCGGGAAACATTACTCAGCGCCGTTTCATTTTCCGTGTTTACTCTCAAACGAGTTTTTAAGTTTCGCGAGGTAAACGCGTGACCCTGTCGCTGACGCAGCGCGTTCGCGCAACGGGAAATTGAAGCGGAAAATTATGACCGGACCGGAAAGGCGAAACCCGGATCGTATTTCTGATTTCAAAGATTATTCCACTAACTCATCGGCCGGCAAAAAATTTATGAAACACGGGCACGAAACGTTTCACATTCAACTGCATTCGCCGTTTCGAAAATCGAGAAAGAATTGTTCGAAAAATTTACAATTTCTGCTCTATTAACCGGCAACCTGACAGACTGCAGATTATTATCACACGAATTTTAACTTTTGTCCAGTAGATTTTCTCTTAACATTTCTCGCGCGTCTGACTTCCTCACGAATGCATAAAGTACAGTAATTAGGTAGCCGAAACAGGACACGCGTAGATATAGGAGTAAATCGTGAAATATCCGGGTTGCGTGACACCGCAATTTATTTACGTAAAAGCAGAAAGTCTTTAATCCGACGTTAGATAGCGTGACTTTATCGTGGATCTACGAACGTACACGGGGAAAGAACTAAAACTACTGCGAGTATCCATGAGATTACGAGATAGCAGGATCGACTTTCTGTCGACCAATATTTGCACAATACACTGTCACTTAGACCTGTTAGATGCCCGACACAGATTTCAGAGAAACAGTTCTGAAGAAAATGTATTTAATACGCGACAGAATAAATTTCATTTACTTTTCCATAAGGAATCGCATCGCCGAGCAGAAAATCATATATTCCACGAGATCGAAAACAGATACGAGGTTCGGTAGCTGTTTGATAACAGAGGGCAACCCGGAGCATGCGAGTAGCATTGATCAAATACGTTTCCCAGTAGAAAGGCAGAGAGAGAGAGGGAATGTACTGACCCATAGGAGAAGCGAGCCATGAGATTATCGGTAACGAGCGCGACAAGCCACGACAATCGTTTCGCAATTACGAATGCAGGGAAACAGAGGGGACGGTGGCGTCGTAACGCGTCGTATATAAATCGAGACGTGATTGATCGCCCTCACCCCCCCTTTTTCCTCCGCTTCCCGTCCTTCGCGTGGAAACTGAATTAATGCACTGTCAATCCTGCAAAGCGAATCCCGTGGTTTCCGCCATCCTACGTCTTCGGTACACAAAACCGGACGTCCAGTTACTAGTATCTATGCGATTCGAACATTGTTTGCCTTGGAATTGTATTTGGAAACAGTTCCAGATAATACAGATGTCTGACAATAGATAGATCACTGCTACTTCTGCCTTTTCTCCCAGGCGTATGACCATAGATCGACTAGTATCACTTAAATCTCTTTTCTTATCATATACATTGATGCACTTATTGTTCCTGCCTAACGTAATGAAAACAGCGACTTGTAGACTAATAATGAACACATTCAATGTACATTTGTAAGAATGCTGTACCTATACCATGAAATTAAAGAAAAATAAAACCAGATAACGCCTCTTAGCAGTTTCTACAATACCGTCTATCTTGTCAAACAGTTTACTCCTAGCTTGAGCGGTTCGAAGTACAAATGGCCGGGAGTTATAAGCTTTCAGAGGCGACTTTAATTGGCAAATCGAAATCGAACATTGAGAGAGAGAGAGGCAACGGAACTGGCGAAACGTCTCCGCCTGGAGCAACACTCGATTCGCCCTCTATTATCCGCTCGATGACTACCACCGACACGGTGTAAACCAAGAATTCAACAAGTCGATCGATTTCCGATGATCGGAAGTCCTCGCTTCGATCCCGGCAGCGATTGTTTCTCGATCGAACGCATTGTTTTCAACGTCGCCACTTTGACATCTGTCGTTCTCCGCGATTGAACTTCTTCTATTATGCATAATTCGAGGCGACGTTTGCGATACGCGAAGCCACGATTTTATTCATTCATTACGTGTTAGACGGTGGTGAGGAGATCTCGATTAGTAGTAGCGAGTAGAGGTGAAAAAACACTCTCGCAACACTCGACGCTTGCTCGCATCTGTGAACGCTCACACGTCAGAAGACCGTAACACGGTTTTCGTGAGAAAAGGGAAAAGGGAAAGGGAGAAAAAAAGAGAACGTTCTCTCCGGTCCATTTATTCGTCGGCTCTCCCGCGAAAGAAGAGCGGAGCCTCCGAGTAACTCAACACCTTGATGGATCAAAGTAACGTGTTCGTTAAAGTAACGAGTGGCTCCGTCGATTCCGTCTCCTGCTGCTGTTGCTGCTGCTGCTTGGAAGCCTGGAAAAGAGGAGATACCGCACGCACAAGCGCAAATCCTTACCTCGCCGGAAGCTACTGCCTCGCCGGGTATGAACAGTTCCGGGTAAACGTTGTCGAGATACCATTTGAACGATTTGCAGCCGAGCTTCTTTCTCAGCGCCTTCCGATCCGATACGTCCCCGTAGTTACCCTGCGAAAATTGCGAATCGTCAACCCGGAAATTCGAGACAACGGCGGGAAGGGAGAGTGTCGGGGGATCTTCAAATCGTTTCCGAGAGCAGATTTCGAGACTGAGAAAAGGGCAGGGAACGCAAATGTATAAAACGTGAGAGGAAGTAGAAGAAACGAGGAACGAGGAATGTGCGGGTTACGTTTATTAACAAAATAATTCACGTACATACACAATTTTCAAAGATACGATTCGTCTTTTAAACGCGTCGTCGAACATGTAACGCAGTGTCAATAAGCTGAGCCTTCGAGCGAAGCCCATTCTGGCGCGAGGACGTGCTGCTGGAAAGTCGCGAATAAAAGTAGTAGCTTTACGTCGGGGTATATGTGGACAACGATTTACTTTTATCCGATCGTTCCACACGCTCGAACGCATTTTGCTTGGTCACGGGACAAGCTGCCAGGACGGAGGATAGATCGCGGGGAATGAAAGAAGCGTCCGAGGAAACGGCAGGACACGCGAGCGATCTTTAAGAGTGCTTTACGCGTTTATAGCTCGGTTTTTATGACGAGTCTCGGTTCCACGGTGCTCTCCATCATTGAGCCCAGCCATCGTCCGTTCCTTATCGCGACACTAGACCCAGCACGCGCTCTGACACGACCAATAAAATCTCACGTAAACAGAAAAACAAGTTTCCCGGTTATAAGAGGACGCCTGAATAATTCAGTCCTTATACCAGTTTCTCGACATGATTTTATAAATAAATAAAACTAGATCGATGCGTTCTCAGAGAACGTCGAATTAAGTTAAACTCTTAAACTAGACGAGCTCTATTGTTGAACGACGTTGAATGAAATGCAAAAAAAATCGATTTTTTTTAAATTTCACACTGGTAAGGCCCCTTAATGACACTTTTATCGTTCGTGTCACGGAACGAAGCGGCGAGGAATTAAGTGAACGGTGTAAAAGATGGAAAGCTTGGTTTCCTGACTGCGAAAATACAATCCACGACTGTTTTAATGGTCCATGGAAGGGTGGCACGATCGTTGAATAGCTCGGTAATAACAGGCGGAGAATTATTGCCTGGGATTAAAAGGTTTCCAGCTCTTTTCATAATTGTGAGATTACAAGAGAGATTAGAAGAAATTTGTCCGCGTAATTGTTCGAGGTCTCGTGGATCGTTACAATTGGATGGTTCACGAGTCACGAGAGGACGAGTCCATAGAATTTTAGTTCCGGACGATTCTATTCTGTACGCGAAAAATCACGAGGTACACATACGTTTCAATGAAAAACTGCACGATCGGAAAAACAAATACAAAGGAAATAAATTCATGCAGACATTCACAGAGATTGACGTAAACTCTTATTTCTGAGACAGCTCTGAACGATTAATTGAGTAAAATCTGACGATCCATGAGACGAGAGAAGACGGAAGTAACGTCTGATGCTGCGGAAAAAGGTAACTAAGCCTGAGTAGCGCGAGTACTCACCTTGTCGTGACCTATCCTCTGGTAATAGTACTTGGCGTACTCATCCAACCACACTTCGCTCAGCCTTATGCTGTTCCTCTTGAGCACGTTCACGCCGCTGCGCCACTTGTACGGCGAACGTTTCCGGAAGATGTGGCCCACGTGCGAGCATGGCACGATTTCCAGGGTGCCTGGAAGCACACCACCGCACCGGCGTGAAATTTCGTTCTAGCCCCGCACGGAAAACGGCTGATTGCGACCGTGGGAGGCGGGGGTGTGAGGAAACAAGTTTATTTCGCTACAAGGCGAGCCACGACTGCCCCTGTTTCCAGGATTTAAGTTCCTTCCGGGGTTTTTCTCCCTCCCCAGTGGAGAAGTGAACAGGGGCAAACGTGATTGGATGCCCCGAGAGATTCGACACGTTACGTGAATCAAATCGAGATTCGAATTTGCTAATTACTACTTTTTTTTTATAAATTCGTCGTATTTAATGTTTAAAAGATTTATTTTAATTTCTCATTGAGTTTCCGAATGAACTGGGACGATGAAATTATTTAATCATTTGCGAATACGACAAATGTTTTTCATCTGATTAATATGTATAATAATTTTCCTGTCAGCTGATTTGCGGGTAGGATGGTGGCGTTGAAATTGCACGTACCTCCGCACATCCACGTCTTGAAAGAGAGCTCGAGATTCTCGCCGCCCCAAATATCGAAACCGCTGTCGTACGTGCCGAGGCGTTCGAAGAAAGCCCGATCTATCGAGAACAGGCCTCCGGCCATCGTCGGTGACCAGACAGGCTCCGCTGGATTCTTGTGCCTCTTTTTCTCCCGTTCCGGTACCGCGTGCCAGTTGAACTGATACAGAAATCAAAGGTCGACGTCGAGAAATTGCGACGATCGCAAAATGTTTCCCGACCACGCGACGAGCATACAAATAGCTAATTTCTTAACGTATACGAGATTTCTAGACTTCGGTACAAATAAAAACAGTTCAGCTCAAACACGTTCACTGACAAGTATCGGTGAAATCTTTATAAAAGACTATGTCTGACCATAGCGGTACCTTGACTACTGACAAGTCCGCCTGTGTAATGCACATGTTCGTACTACTTCGTTTAAGATTTCTTCAATCATGAACTGTCTTTCTTCAATGAAATTATTTGTATAAATGAAAATCTGTGCCGAATCGTATAAAAGCGTAACTATTGGAGTTTGAATTCCAGCGAGTCTAGCAGCACCGTGAACAGAATTCTAAACCTGGAACAGCTTGCGAGGTTCCGCTGGCGCAAACCTCCCGAGAATAATTTTACGAATTTTACTCGCGATTAACCGATCGAGGCACAGCGGCGATGTACATAGCGAGCGGTTACCGCGAAGCAAAAGGGAATTTCGCTTACCTGCAGATTCCAATCGAACCCGCCTACGTTCACACCGCCGGAATCCCTCCAGTGATATTCGAGAGTGGTGTCGTCGATAACATCGATCACGGGGCAAACGACTGTCGTCGGATCGCGGGCGATTCGATCGAGCAACGGCTCCAGCCAGCCCTCGGTGCACTCGCAGTGGCTATCCAAATATGTGAGCACCGGGGCTTTTGCGGCCACTGCGCCGAGCAAACGAGCCCTGATAAGACCCTCGCGTTTTTGCGCCCTGATTATCTGTACCTTCGGGTAGTTCATCATGTAGTCTTCCAGTTGACGCTGCAGATGCGCTGCAACACCATCAATTCGATTATAGTGCAGAATACAGAATTACCAGAGCGCTGCAGGATTAAAATATACAGAATTATTATACGGTTTGCTCTGATGATTAATAATTGCTGTTTAAATATTTTTCATTCAACAGGTAAAATGAATATTTAATCATCACACGAATAAATTATAAGAAATGAAATACTGCACTCAATTAAAATCATTTATTAATATCGCAGACATTTTGCAGTTCCGTATCTTTGATCGATGATGACTAAAGTCTGTTCTTTCGATTCGAGCGTTTATGGATTCCGCAGGATACCGCAGTCATGTAAATAAAATCTGACAACAAATAATTCGCCGATCATAAAATATGATTAACAATTAATGCTGTCTGTCCCCTCGCACCATTAATGCTTTGAAATCCGCGAAGCCCATTTCCTACTTGCAACAATCGGATTCATCGTTTATCAACTCGTCGCACGGTTCGACGAGAGCGTACACGGAAGCGGGAAAAGCGGCTCGGGAGAGTACACATCCTGCGGAAATAGCAGGGCTCGTGCGGTGGAAGGAAGCGAGGGAGGAGACAATCGATCTTCCGTCAAAGTTTCCTTCACGTCGAAAAACGGGCGTCGGGCGCAGGCAAATTTTTCGCCACCGCCACGTCGCATCCTATCAGAACGCCAGGGAGGGAGAGAGATGGGGAGATATCAACATCTAGGGATCATTGACATGCATCAACCTGTCGGTATTTTCCGAGTACACGCGCGCAACTAGTCGACGCCAGTTTTTCGCTACTACATGCATTGCCGTTCGACGGTACGCGGTTCACCTCCTATTTTTTTTTTATATGTATAAGAGGAATCATTATTGTTGAATGTATTAGACTGGAATTATATTCGTTTTGAGATAGTTTTCAAGTGTATGATATCTCTTGAAACAAATTCCAGGATGCAATCCTGGTTTTCTTTCGCACGTTTCATCTATTGATTTGAGCTCCTGAGATAGAAACTGATATCGAGTCACACTCGACATAGGAGTGCAAAGGCTTAATGAAAGGTCAAATGCATTTTCCAAGACAGCATCGAATGGAACTTGTTAATGGTTTTATTAGAGAATCGAGCCAGCGTGTACCGCATTCGACGTTGAACCGATCGTTAGAGTTAAGGATCACAGAGATGGATCGCTATTAATCGATCCGTCGTGAGGCCACCGTACACTGTGCCCGATAACGAATCACCCGTGGCTCTGAATAAACCAGAATAGGTGTACGGTTACTCGGACAAGCAGCTAGGTACAGCGATGAATCATGGTCCTAGTTTAACCATTAAATTGATTTATATGATTTACTAGGTTGCTGCATATAAAATGTATTTCAAATTCTAACAATAACGATTACTTACGCATGTCAGAGTAGTCGTCGACCAAGATGATTTCCTGTATGAGATGTTCTGGCGATCTGTCCAGCACGGAATGAACCGTCCTCAGCAGTACCGACCAGGCTTCATTGTGAAAGCAGATTATCACCGCTGTGGGTGGAAGCTCTTTCAAATATTTTCCAGGTTCTTTACACCTGAAACAAAGTAAAACAGAATTCACATATATAAAACGTATTTGACGATTTCGTATTTTATATAAAACAGAACCAGGGGCAGACATTTTAATTAGAAGTGTAAAATCATTCTTTACTGTGAAATTCTTAGCCGGATCATTGAACGGGAAATAAGATTAACTGCGACAACCTTTTCGATATCGAGGGAGGATTTACAAGTAAATATTCCGATCAAGCATAAATCCGAATTGCCGCGTTAATATCTTAATCCCATTATCGGCCGGAAAATACGGATTACGGGTAAGAGATACCCGCGGGAAGATAAGGGTAGGCGAAATACGATAATGCGATTAGAAATCGCTATGTTGCCAGAATAAGAGGCCACGAGGTGTATACACGTTTCCTAAGGTTCCTTTAGAGCGCTTTCATACAATCACGATTCTCGTGTGCGGTTCACTCCGCGAATCATGAGTATAGCTTGGGACAATGATTCCTGGCCAACTTCGGCTAGTATTGATTTTCCCTAAGACCAAATTAAAAAAGATTAGTAAATCTGTGTCTTATTCTTTCAGTGCATCGATTCTGTTGGACTTTGACATTTCAAAATGAAACAAATGTCACACTATCAGCGATAAACCTAGCACGTTTAATGAATTCTGCAAACGATTAATTTTAACCATCGCGAAGAGCATGTATTTGATCGCAATTATTTATCGTTCTCATCTGCCTCTCTCTCCTCAATCACTCTTTTACTTCGTTTATTAAACAAATAACTCTTTATCGTTTCCATTTGTGCATCACGAAATATTCTTATTTATTAAACAAATGGCTGTTTCAATTCATTTTATTTTACGTTCAAATGCGAAACGTAAATTACGTATTTAAATGCGATCGCAAAGGTAATATGTCACGTCTGTAAATGTCTATAGTATTTACGTCTATGTGAGTAAAATAATGTTCCGTCAACATGGGCGTGTTCCACAGTTCTCCCCTATCTGTCTATCTATCGCCACAATCCCACCGTTCTCCTATTTAATCCGCGGATTATCCGACCACGTCGTGACACGAGTGCTTGTTGAAAGAGACGACGCAACCGTTTCAATTAGTTCATCAGTACAACATCCTGATCCAACCTGCTGCATGATACCATAATAGTCGCAAAAGCGAGGAGTTTCGACTGTGAGACTCCGAGCCGCACTTATTTCCCCGCGTCGCTTGTAAAAGAATGCGTGCACGCACGAACCCGGGTTAATTTACGACGGTCTCTGCACGCGACCGTTCTCACGTGACCAGATAAAACAAAAATTACTCTCGTGTCGCGGTCACCAGCCGCTCCGAGCGGTTGCGTGCTCAGAATTTGACAATTTTCATTTTAAGATATCTAGTTGCGAATGTATTTAAAGTCACAGTTGATGGAGCAATTTTGGAAGCTGTTATTTTTTCCCCCTGTGCTCGAGTAATTAGGGAACGTGCAAATAATGATCAGTGAAGTACCTTTCAAAAGGTAATAATAAACGGTGCACGCTTTTCTATTATATTACAATATTATTAAATACATTGTGAATTTAATTATGCCGATACGAGTAACAATATTGTGTCTAATATTTTAAACAATCTTCATGTCAGGTTCAGTAATCTTTGTGTAAAACAAGTAATACAGATTTTAGTTGAACGGATAGCAGAGTCTGAAAACCAAGGAACAGAAATGTATTGGTCGCGGAAAGTATTGAATAATCGGGATAAAGAGAAAAGTAAGATATCTTTTAGCTAAACATACACAGACGTGAAATGCGCGTGTGAAAAAAAAAAATAACGAATTGGGCAAACATTCCAATGAAAAGCAATTTCCTCGCATCGTGCGTTCCAATTAAATTCCACAACGAAGGTATCAAGGTAGAAACATTTTTTGCCCACCGTTCACTCGTTCCACTTTTGCTCTTTTTTTCAAAGCAAAATCCAGGAAGAACAAACAACATCTTTCGTTCGTTCTTTCGGTCGAGCAAAATTCCTATTTCGAGCGATGCGCTCGTTTATGAATAAAGTAATAAAAGTGAGAAACTTATAATATTTAAATAGCGGAAGCTTTCTAAATACTCTTTTAAAACGATATCATAATTTTATAACAATCCCAATTCCGTTGTAATGAATTGCCGTGCGGCTTCGGACGGTGTACGCATTTATCTCTCGAAATATAAACAACAGGAAGAAACTGATGGGAGGAACAATTTATGAGAGCAGTGGAACATTTGTTAAAAATCCCGTCCGCGTACTCCCAGCGAGTAACGGCACGATAAACGGCCAATAAATTCTTTGTATCAGATCAAGCTTTCAATGACGAGTCATCAAAAACGGCGTGAGATTATTGATTCCGATCAACGGACCTCACCGAGCCGTGCCAGGATAATTCAAAATACGAACGTTCTATTTGCTCCACGTCCATAAATATCGTTCCTGATTTATATTGCACAATTCCATTTATATTTAGGAACGTTGAACGTCGCTGATATCACATGGAAAAATAACAATAGAGATAATTACCTTTGATGAAACATTGAACGCGTGATTTCACGAAAACAATTTAATTGAATCAAAGCATGAATATTAAAAACGGTGTTGTCAATTGAACGAATGCGATACATCTTAATTTCAAATTCTGAGAACTGGAAGTCGTTTGAGGAATTGAGAGAAAATTAAAAGGGGGAAAAAGGAGCACCGAGTCGTTAATAATTTTTGCGTTCTCCCGCTGTTCAATTCGAAGAGGAAGCTCGATCGTCGCCACGGTAAACTTTCGTTAAAATTTGGTAAATGAATCAGAGTTACGGTACAGTGGCGAGGCCGTTTCTCTCGGTGGTGTACGCGCGTTGCTTGATTGTTTCGTTACGAATTCGTTTGTACTCCTGCCGGTAGCACACGCGAAAAAAAACCAAATGAACCGTCGAGCCTGCGAACTTTAATCATTATACTTTGTTAAACAGTCAACGTCAATCGCAGCCCCGATTAGAACGGCTAGAAAATTGTTTTCCCAAATTAATCTACATTTTCCCTTATATTTCGAATCCAGTCAATCGTAGCATAAAAAACTTGTTATATCGTTTATTATGAACTTATGAGTGTTACAGTATTAAAAATGTATCGCTGTTATTTTATTCCATAAGCGATATCGATCGTCGAGTATCGATCTTGATGAAAATAATTAAACGATTTTTGGAAGCAATAATTTATTCGTTCATCAGCTAGAGGAACAATTGGGAATGAATTATTGAACGTACAAACAGTAGAAATTTCCACGTGAAATATTTCACGAGGGATACAGAGCCTAAGTCAAATCGACGAGTTTCTCGGTGGAACGGCGTTGATGGCGAAAGCCCTGGTAGCTTAATTCTGAAAGCGGCCACGATGGATTGTGTTTACCAGTAATGAGTAAACATGCTCGGTGTCGCCATCGCCGTCGCTAAATGCCCGGGTACTAGAAACGGCTCGCGCGCCGCGCCGCTTAACAAGCGTTCTCGTTTGCATTCAATTTCTGCACGCGGAAATCTCTTCAGCCGCGTTAAGCATTGACAGCGAATTCGCGCACGTCGCTCGCTCTCTCGAGAGATTTTTCACCCTCGAAAAGCTCGCGTTACACTGTGTACCAGCTTTTCCTCTTGAATAATAATGTAACAACAATGTTTTGAAACGCCAGCGTCAGATGTTTGCGCTCGATGCTAAAATCTGATGAAATGAAGTTTCGAGAGCGTTTATCTCCATTCGAGTGACTTTACGTACTAACAGAAGATTTATACAAAGGATTCACTTGTATCGTATCCCGTGGAAATCGAGCCAATTATTTTGCGTCAGATCTCCCAACTGCGATACACAAATTCGTACTCTGTGACATTTAAATTGTCCCTTGTATTAAATATTATTGCCGTTCGGTTTACACGAGACAACGATAAATTGATATAATAAACGTTTTTGTGGCTATCTATTAAAGTGCTTCCCCGCGCGACACTGAAAAAAATGAAAAGCTTGGAAAGCTTTTAAGTATCGCAAGTCGCGCGCTAGCGTGTATTTTATGAAGGGGTTAGAGGAATAAATAACGGGCAGAGCCTAAGAGCGCTTGTAAAGATAAATTTTTAGTGCTTCATATTTTGTTTGAGAAATCCGGTCAACCCCGAAGGTAGACTCTTAATACTTTAGAAAATATTCTCGGAGCGATACGTTGTACGCCTGCGTTTACTTTCTGGTTAATTAATGTAGATAAAAAGATGTGAAATATTTCAGTGACCTAATTAGCAGCCAGTATGAAATAGATTGAATCTGTGCAACGTTACAAGGATGAAATATCATTGTAATAGGTCGTAGCACACCAACGCGACATCGAATCAACTCTATTTGCTGATATATTGTTCTGTCGACCGTAGTTCTAAATTGAACTTAACGGTATTATGCCTTACAATGTACCTGAATCATGCGATTACTAATTACAGTTCACGTTTGACACAGTTCACAGTTGCAAATAATGATTACCCCCAGTAGTAGTGTAGATCCAATATCTTCACATTTAACACTTATTTGTCTTCGTTTACAACGAATCAACGTTGTAAATGAAAAGAGCCTAAACCTTTATCCCATCCATCATGTCCATCGTCAGATTTTCAATTTATCCATCAATCATCTTCCAACCCCCAGACCTCACCATCCATTGGCAAGTATCCTCGTTATCCCGCGTTCGCCGCTGTCACACGGCGAACTAACATAATTATCGACATCTCTAGACAATGGTCCTCGTTAACCGCCGCGAAACTATTGCTTTCGACAGCGCGCAGTTTGTCCGAGACGCGCTGCCAGATCTTGGGAGAGCCCGGTATTACTTCCTGTTTGGAACCAGTTCAAGTTTCCAGTCGCTTATTGGAACTACGACTACTCGCGTCTGTGTGCACGCCTTTCCTTTCCTTTCTCCGTCCCCTTTTTCCTTCTCTTTTCGCCAGTGTCATTTCGACGACATTGAACAGCCATCCGGGTCGAAAGGTTTCCCG